AGGGATCCGTTTTGCTATAAACTGAATACTTTAAAAAAAAATAAAATGTAAGACATGTCGGCTTTTTCGTTGATTTTTAGCCTGTATATCAACATTTTATTATTTTTCTCGAAAACGAAAGAAGTTATTCTAAAATCGATCCCTAAAGTTGTTTAGAACATCCATAAGAATATTACAAAAAAATTTCAGGTCAAAAAATTAATTTTTACAAAAGGAGTAAGATTTTAAAATTTTCCCAATTTTCTTCAAAAAGTTTAAATTTTTAAAATTGTGTGAATAATATATGAAAATTTTCATCTGTTATCATTTTCTTGAATAGAAACATCGTATAAAATGCTAAAATATAATTTTTAAATACGTAAATAAAGAAGTTTGCTCAAAGGGTGCCAAATCCTCTTAACACACGCACGCACTTGAAATTTTATTTGCTGCTGAAATAACGATCACGTAAGTTAAAAAAATTAATTCTTGTATTATTTAAGGTATCCGACTACTTGCGACAACTTTTTTTTGAAGAAATGGAGATATGGGCATTTTTTTGTGATTTTTATATTTATTTAGTATATTTTAAGGAAAAAATTCTAAAATTAATAAAATAAAAAAAATTGATTTTTATTAAAATGGGGAAAAACTAACAAAAATGTACAAAAAATTACATAAACGGGGCCCGCTCTGTACAAAGATTTTATGAACAAATTCTCAATTTTTCAATTTTGATGTGTTACTTTGTTATTCCTGTTTGAAGTTACCTTCAGGATAAGAGATATTTTAATTTTTACTAAATCTATAGAGCACTTTATCTTAGTCATTATACGAAATTGCTTAAAAAAACAGACTATATTCACATAAAGGGCTGCAAATTTTGAAATAAAACAGTGATTAATAAATCTGAAGATCAAAACACTTCTACTGTTATGCAGAACATTAGCAAAAAATTCCAGCCAATTATTTTTAAAACATTTTGAGCAATCGCTATCCCTGTTTAAGTTTTTCGAAAAAAAAAACACATTTCGAGTAAAACGCATTTTAAAGTTTGACACCTTGTGTAAAGTTGCGGCATCTGCTTTTACTAAAACGCTTGTAGTTTTTGTTCTAGTGGAGGGAAAATAAAAAAGCTTGGTGTTGTTATTAAGCTTGTAAGATGGCCTATAAAATAAAATCATTAAAAAAATTTGTCAATTTTTGAAAAAAAAATCATGATTTTAGGGAGGGTAGTCGGTACCTTAAGAGTTTTCATTTGTGCAACTGATCTCTTGTTTATGACATTTCTAAATCTTTGTTACATAAAAATAACTAAATATTAATTTTAAGAATCTCGCACAGAAGTTTGGTTTAAAAAACAAGAAACACAAAAAGTTTTGAAATTTTTTTAAAAATTTTTTCTCCCAACCAGTTTGGGGATTTATTCCCTTTTTCAAACTGCTGATTCAATTAAATAGTTAATAATAGTGACGTATCAGAAGTTTTTTTTAAATAACTTAAATAAATAACAGTTTTAGCCCCTTTATGTTCATTTTATTTCTGGATTATGAATCAAAAAGCGCCGCATTTCTTCTACTTATTTTTAAGCATTTGTTTAAAAGTTATCTGTTTCAAAGTAATGGCACCATTCGCAAGAAAAGTTTCCTAAAAATTAATGTATATAAAAATCTGTTTAAATAAATGTGTAATTTACCGGTAAAATTGGCTTTTTGTATGGTGGGAATCATTAGACTTTGGAGTCAATTCTCACAAACTATAAATTTAAAGTTTAGAATACCTAACTTTATATCTTGAATTACAAATTTTATTTTCATCTTTTGAATTTACATAAATGATTTTGAATTTATTAATCAAATTTGATCGTGTATGATAAATTCGAAAAAGATGGTACTCCACAGAACCTAACATCGCCATCTGGACAGTAAAATCCTGTTTCTCTTTTTACTTTCTTCCCTTTATCATCTCTCCTTCAGAAGAAAATAATGCACTGTCGTTCTGGATTAGTTTTCTTTTCTGTGGGGAAATGTAGTCTACAAAGTGTCTTTCAGGCAAGCGGGAAGGGGAAGAGCTCAGCAGAAGAACGTCCACTTTTTGCAGAAATTTCCGCCGAGTGGTAATTTTAAATTATTCTAAATCACAAGAAGTGCATGTGAAATTATTCGGGAAAGATCAATTGCACAGTGTAAATTTTCCCAGTTCCCGAGCTGCACTCGAGATGAGCCAGGATGGTACGTTTACGTTTCGACTTCCTGAGCTCAGCTTGGGCAAAGCCGGGAAGGGGTAAATATATATAAGCACTTACATTATCAAAGCTGTGATGTTCCTCCCCTCGGAAGTACATCCCTCGAAGTATCAGCGTGAGCTAGAGGTGTAGGGTTATCGTAAGAACTAGAATCAAACATTATCTTAATATGACTTTATTAAGATATTCAACTTAAACTTTGAACAAATATAATATAAATACTTAATGAGAGAATCTACGATGACGCAATACGCAACACACAATATAATTCAGACCACTCTCAATACTCGAACCGCCTAATCTTCAAATATAATAATAAGTAATCAACCCTACCTTATATTATTCTGTAATAAACTTGTCTTTATCTACACTGGTATGTAGCTGTACGTTTAACTTATAATCGATCACCAATATGTTTATCCACGACACGTAGAACTTGAATCTTGAACGACGAACTTCTATAATCATCCACTGCCACAACGCACTTCAATTGTCTAACATTCCTTTACACTACCATTACATTGCCATTACGCTTACTCTAAGATCCCTTATTTATCCTATATTATTTGCATCTCTTCACTTCTCGTTTCTTGGATTTGGTTGGAAAAGAGTTGCCATTAATTCTGACCCAAAGAACCCAAAGGACTTGTTAAAGAAAAGACGCGTAAGACGTCACAAAGCAAATGAAGATATCAGAATTGCATCAAAATAGTCATGCTGGTAGACCACACACACAAAATAATATTTCTTTAAAAAACTAAATACTTTTAGTTAACGAAGCGATTTTCCACAGACAGACAGGAACTGTGTGTGTGTGTGACCATTGTTTAATCTATTTACTCTCTTTCCTACGACAAGCTGCAAAAAGTCTCCGCAATCCTACGGGATTACTGTGTTACTGTTTCCTTTATTGCACTCTTACCCCACTGTTGAGGGATCAAACTGGCATTTCTTCTAACAAGGAATTCGGGGTGAATGATCAAAAAATTGCAACATTGCGGTCAGCTAAAATTTATATATAGGAGGTCGAAATCCCCAGTTAAAAGTCAAAACGCAGCCCCGCGTAATTTCCGGGATTACAAAAGTATAGAAATCCTATGATTTCCCGGGTAAGAAACCCTAGTCGAGGGGTTTTTCATGGTAGTGGATTCTGTAATGTGGAGGAGCCCCGTCATGATGCCATCACATGGAGCGGCGCAACGACCGAGGAAGATGAGCTGCGTCGAGAAGTTTGGACAGGACTTGTTGTAAGAAGACAGATATGCCCTACCGTCCAAAGGACTGGGCGGCAGGTACGGTCCAATGAAGTAGTCTCCAAGAATGCCGGTTCAAACATTGATTGAGAAACGCTGTTGAGCCTACGTAAGATGAGACTTCTTCCAAGTCCAAACATGGGTGTTATACTTGTAATAGCCCACGAGTTGTGGGTATCATCTCTTCCTCATCCACGCGACCTAAGTTTGAGTTGGATAAAAGATTGACCACTTAAAGACTCCATACTAAAATTGGATTATTGTTATCTCAATTTATATTCAGCAAAGCAACACATGTCTAGGAGGCTTATGATCAGGAGTGATGAGACATAAACTATATTTATAACAAATATCGCAATAAACCACCGAATCTATATTTATAGATGATTCCCTGACTTTACTTGAATCCGTTCTAGTTTTAAAGATTAATCTAATCTTTCGAACCGCTAATCCACGGCGAACAGCTACCAGTTCTTATATCGTCAATATAATACCCGATCCAGCTTGCTCCGGCAAATGGATGATCTTCTGACTTCGAACTCACTTCGAACTCTCCTTCTTAGAACTTCTCTAGCATTATTAAACCTCCTCATAGAACTTCACGCGAATACTAAAGCTCCAATATATACACAATTCCTAATCTGAATAATCGCGTTCTCTTCTTGAGTTGGTTGGAAAGAATTGCCATTCTGGCCCCAAAGATTTTCCAAGAGGTTTTACTTGCAGACGCAATAAAGCCCCGTCATATACTGATTAATGTGTTGCTGTTTTTGTTCTTTTTCTCTGCTTCCTTACCTCATGGCCTACTACTACGGCGTTTGTAACGCTGCCTCCGAGTCGTCTGTGTTTTTCTACACACCGTTGAAGTTTGTCGGGCTGGTAGCGAATTCCCTTGTATGTAGAAGCACAATCTTTACATTGGTATGTTGCGGAAGTTCGTAGAGTAGGAAACCAGTTTAGGTGTTTATCTTTGTCACTTGATCGAGGTTCAAAGTTACAAAGTTAGCCACCAGAAGCTTAAAAAGGCGACGTTAATAAAAAAAATCAAATCAGGGCTTGAGAGGAAGATAGAGTGCCCATATAAAGTATCAGATAAATGTCTTCCTCCCTTCAAATCACGATTATGCTCTCGGTAAAATAATAAGAATTTTCAAAAGAATGAACTCGATGAAAAACTCATTCTATATTTATACGATTATTTATCTAAATTACTTTTAAAAATCATTTAAATTGAATGCACTAGTAAAAAGTAATACAAAGAAAAAAATGATCAATTCCTACTTTGGTTGACAAAGAAAAAAATTATTTTAGTTACAATTAATATAAATGTATATGTACATGTGACAGAATCACAATATTAAGTGGCAAAATAGAAAGCGATTTTGCAATTTTCCATTTTCCTTTCTATATATAATATTGGACTATTATTTGTTTTGTTTGTTACTATTTATCCATTTATTAAATTTAAATATTCCAATAAAATAGTAATATAAAAAAATAATTCACATTCTCAGAAATTAGGCCATCCCAGGTGGGACACGAACGACCTTTGAATTAGAAGTCCAACGTGCAATCCATTGCGCTACAGGGACGCAGCGAGCGATTTTCCTTTTTATATATGGTGTTGGACTATTATTTTTGTTTGTTACTATGTTTTCATTAATTAAATAGAATTAATTATTAAGGAATTAACATTTGAAAAACTGTTAACATCAAGTGTCATCCATTAGAAGTTTAAAAAATGCATTTGAACTTGAGTGGATGAATAAAAAGTATCTTAATAACGTTTGAAAATTTGAGCAATTATATATATATATATATATATATATATATATATATATATATATATATATATATATATATATATATATATATATATATATATATATATATATGTGTGTGTGTGTGTGTGTGTGTGTGTGTAGCATGCAGCCAAAAGCAAAGCAGTCTTCGCGCGCAGGCGCAATGAATTGAAACTGAAACAAAAACTCTTGGACATTAGAATTAGAGAGAAAGGAGCGCGAGAGGTGCGCGAGCAGGCGTTACCTTCTGCATATCATTGTCAAACTTATCTACCTTTTTAATTAATTTTTGTTTAATGTTAAATAAACCATAAGAAAGACTTTTGGACCCCTTGTTGTCTCCCACAAATTATGGGGGCTCGGCCGGGATCGATAAAATTTCGATTTTGAACCAAAGGCTGGACAATGAACAAAAGCGTCCGTGAGGAGACGCTCCGCCATTTTTCGAAAACTTCGTTCAACCTGTGTAGAGGTTTGAACTCAGCATGAAAATTCCGCCTGTGTAGAGGCCGGGATTGAAAAAAGATTTCGATTTTGATCAAAGTTTGGAACGTGAACAAAAGCCGTCCGTGGAGGAGACGCGCCGCCATTTTTCGGAAACTTCGTTCAACCTGTGTAGAGGTTGAATTTTTCAACTTCATTCCGCCTGTGTAGAGGTCGGAACAAATAACAAAATAACCTGTGTAGAGGTGTATTTTTCAACGAACCATCGACAAATATCCCGCCTGTGTAGAGGTTGGAACTAACTCAGTGTGAATAATCCGCCTGTGTAGAGGCCGGAACTACAATTTCAAGATATTACCTGCGAAGAGGTGAAATCAGTGGAATCAACGTTTTTATTGGATACATCGTACGTGCGAGCAACAAGGGAGCCAGAAAAAAAAAAAGGTAGGACCTTCCCATATTTTTCTAAAATGTATAAAAACGCTCTTAAAGAGGATCTCATAAGAGTTGTTGAGAATCTAGACGGTACTGTGGAGAGTACTGACACTATAGTTAAACTAAAGACTAAAATTGAGAACAGTAGTACATTTGAAAGTGATCCAGATTTCGTTAAAACTTTAATTCAAAACTGTATAGATGAGAGAGTATCGCAAAACGAAAGAGAGGTAACTTTAGAAAAACAGAAAATTGAGCTCGCGAAACTTCAGTTAGCAAAATTAGAAAAAGAAATCGAACTTCAAACGGCTAAAAATAAAGCATTAAGTTTAAATCCTGCAGCTAAAGTCGAAGAAAAACAGTTCGAAACTAACATAGAAAATATGATAACAAGTATTAAAACTTTATCTCTTCCTGTTCCCACCAGATCTGAAAATTTTAATCTGTTCTTCCAATCATTAGAACGCGCATTTTTAACCAAGAAAATAAATGATGAATATAAATCTGAAATTTTAATAAATCTTCTGGGCGAAAGAGCTCATAACGTCTTACTGTATATTAAAGAAGAGGAATTAAATGACTATGAAAAACTAAAATCTATAGTACTCAGAGAATTCCAATTAACCCCTCGCGAGTGTTTAAACTCATTTAAAAATGCTGTAAAATCATCAGGCGAGACATACATCCAATTTGCTGCAAGATTGACGGCAAACTTCCAATATTATTGTTCGTTAAGAAAAGTTAATTCCTTTGAATCTCTATGTGATCTCATAATTTCTGATAAATTATTTGAAACTTTAAATAAGGAAACTGCATCTCATATTGGCATTCGAGAAGCAGAAGATTGGTTCAGGCCTATTGATTTAGCTAAAGAGTGTGATATTTATATTTCATCTAGAAGCGGATCACATAAAGAAATTCCTATTACTTATGGATATACCCAAGACCCCTTTAAAAATAGATCACAAAACTTTTAAACCAAAGATTAAAGAGAACTATCCCCAATATCTTGAAAGAGAAAATAAAAATTGCTTTATATGCGGTGATTCATCTCATTACGCAAGAGACTGTGAGAAGCGTTTTAAACTTAAAGAATCTAACGACCACATCCATAATAAAATAAACGTGAATACTTTGAAAATCGAGAGCGAAAAACAAAATAGCGATGAATGCGCAAATCTTCAATACGTAAACATTTTTGTGGAAAATCAGCCCGTAACAGCCTTGATCGATTCAGGTTGCCAGATCCCAGTTTTAAATTCCTCACTAGGTAGAGTGCAAACACCTTCCGAAGAAATCATAACATTAAGCTCATGTTTTGGCGAAAAGCGAATGGTAGAAGTTAAACCCATAAATATTTCTCTTAATCAACACTCTACTAGCTTAAGTGTGCGAACGGCGATATCACCGACCTTGACCGAAGAATTTATTATACATCCCAGTGTATATTCTGAAATAGAGAAACTAGGCCACGCAAAGAGCGATGTTTTATTGAGTGAAAGTGGATCCTCTTTGAGTGCAGATTTAGGTGCTCATGCTTATGCTTATTCTAGTGCTATTTCTTTTCCAAATGTTTCCGTTTCAAATGTGATAGAAAACTCTAGTTATGATTTGTCACATGTTAAAAACTTTAATACTAGAAATGATTCGAGTTCTCTAATTAAGGATTATAAATGTAATAAAATTAAGAGTACTAAGTTAAAATTGAGTATTGTAAGAGAAAAATGTTCTGATATAGTATTGTGTAAGAAAGCCAATGGTGCCATGAAAACGAGTTCCGTGGAATTTATCTCCCGCTCACCTAACCCTTTACCTATGAAGAGTAAACATCATCGGTTTGTGTTGCTCCGAAGGATCTTTGAGCCTTGGCAGTGGAAACGAAGGAAAAAGAGAAATCGTTTTGAACAGACGTCCAGAACTCGAGAGGAAAATATCGATGCGTTCAACCAAAGAACTCATTAAAAAAGACGTTCTCATGCCTGTGAAACACGTTTTCCTGTGGAACCTTCCGGATGTCGAAGAGATGCCTTCACATGATGGAGAAACTGTTCAGTTCAGCAGAATTATGATATTTTAAACCTTTGTGTATTTGTCGTATAGTCCTTGTCTGTTCCGTCTTTTTTGTATGTTTCAGATTCTCCTCTGGTATCCATGGAAAGGAAGAAGTACCGCTGCGGACAGCGTACGGTCAGAATGGCCGTTGTAGCATGCAGCCAAAACCAAGCAGTCTTCGCGCGCAGGCGCAATGAATTGAAACTGAAACAAAACTCTTGGACATTAGAATTAGAGAGAAAGGAGCGCGAGAGGTGCGCGAGCAGGCGTTACCTTCTGCATATCATTGTCAAACTTATCTACCTTTTTAATTAATTTTTGTTTAATGTTAAATAAACCATAAGAAAGACTTTTGGACCCCTTGTTGTCTCCCACATATATATATATTTTATATATATATAAATATATATATATATATTTATACTGACAAGGGGAGGCTACGATGCATGGATCACCGATTCGATCCATCTTTAGTACACGTGTAGGGCATAACCAGGAGTACAACGGGTGCAAGTAGTAAGGTGCGCTTGTGACAAATCTATACGGAACTTTATCACTAACCTTCTGAGTCGTCCTTTTAGGGAAATTTAATTCCCTACCTATTTCCAATCAACTCCAAAATCGGACAGGATTCCTTGTTATGCAGATTAGATAAAGTATTTAAGTCAAACGGAATAGTAAAGTTAGAGCAGTAGGAGATAGAGATTGAAGCAGGAAGTTATAGTGAAGTTAAATTGAAGATTTCTTGTTGGAAGATTTAATCTTAGATAAAAGCTGAGCTGAATTGCAGTGTGGTAAATATGAGTCTTATTATTGCGAATGAAATTAAAATTAAATGTTCAATAAGAACATAGAATATAATTCTGGGATCTCTTATCGTGGTAATCTCTGCGTGATCGTTATTTAATTGTTAATTAATTGGATCATTAATTAAGTTAATTTAAAGGATATTACCTTTAAAACCTCATAATAGTAGTTAGATATATTTGTTAAAAAGTCTTTGATTCTATTTGGATAAGATAACCAAATAAAGTAAGTTGTTTATAAAAATGGCTACTGGTTCTTACATGACTCCTATTTATTCTCGTTCTTAAAGTGAGGTCCAAGGAGACCTTCACACGCTTCTCAGCCGTTTCCGAGAAATTAATTAATCGAAATTTGAGTTGCGTTCATCTGCGTTTTACGTTAGCAAAAATTTAGCGAACGCGTAGCGCAGCGGTAGGAGCCCTGCTTCGTAAGCGCGGGATCGCTGGATCGAATCCCGCCGGTGAACTCGATTTTTTTTCTAATATTTCATATTTTTTACAAATTTAGGTGTCTTGAATAATATTTATTTTGGAATCAATTGTATAATTATTTTTTTAACGGAAAAAAGGATTCTGAAAAAATCATATACAGGAGATTGAAGAATTAATACTTTTATTCCCAGTATTTTGTACAACTATTTATTCTACCCTATTTTCTATTCACTATCGTGCTGTTCGAGCGCCGAATTACTGCACGAAGTAGGATGATATCGGTCATAGAAGCAGGGAAAACAATAGTTATTGCGGCATCTTGCGCAAGCGATAAATGCCGAATTTTTGCATTCGCGGGAATTTTTTAGCACATCTATCCGAAAGCAAACTTCGTTCACGTTCATGAACGATGTCCGGTCATCGCACAATTTGGCGGCAAACCACGCGTATTTTAACATGCAACAGAAAATTGGTGCCGACAATTGATGGTGTACTAGAGACTGAATTTTGATACAATCTTCTCTGAAGATATTTCTCTATCCTGTTCGATAATGTAAGCGCAGTTCTGTAGTCTCTTGATAAAGTTCTTCACTTGCCGGTAAAAATAAACATCACACGGCT